GTACTGATACTTCATCCCCTGAAAGGAGAAAAAACGCAGGAATTTTCTGTGTTGGGATGATCGGTATGCGTTTCTCTGGATGCTGTACAACAGCTGTCTGGTTGTCAACATGTGAAAAACGGTCTGTCCATGATCACCTTGTTGAAAAAACTGACAGATCCAAGATCGGTCTTATCCCTCCGGTCCGTTGGGAACCAGGAAGTAACGTGAGTAAAACCCTGTGTTTTCTCTCTGTTGGGGAACTCTGGAGATTACTTTTATCAGAAACACTTGGACTTCTGCATTTAGGGATGAGATTTGGTCTGATGACGACAGGACCGTTTCTATAACTCCTCCGAACGGAGGGGGTCGGGTTGCAAACTGTAACTTGTAACCATTAGCATAACACCCTGTCCATCCATCTGAACGGCGAGCATGTTTTAGCCACTCTACGTAACGTTCGTGGAGTGAACGTGCGTTTAAGTGATGCGTCACGTTTTGTACAGCTGTCAGCAGTCCGCCCCTCAACCGCCGTCATGCGTCGCGGGAATGTTTTCTGCGTGACCCAAGGCGAGGCTTCCTCGAAAAAAGGCTCTGAACGCGCCCGTGCGCTGCGTTCGGATCGCGGACCAACCTTAATGGACAGGTGGGCCGGTGTGTGCTGAGGCGAAGCGTGTGACAGCTGATGACGCCGTGGGGCTGCGCGTTTGACGTCGCTGTGCGAACGTTGAGAGGCGGAGGGCGTGACTTCATCTACGCCGTGCTGTTGGAGTGAAGGCTGCGAGCCCCGCAGGAGCACACGTTTTCTCTGGAGGGACGCGTGCCGCTCTCGCTGGAGGGAGCCGGGACTCGTCACCGGGTTCGTTCAGCTGCCTCACGCTTATGCTGCCGTGAGCTGCCGAACGCTGAGACGCGGTGGGTGACGGCTGCCCGCGTTTGATTCGGTGAGGCGAGTGTCGCTCTTGTGAGAGTGAGGACCTCCACCTGACCCAGCCTGCGGTCCACATTTATACCGATGTGAGCCGGTGAGCACCGGGCAGCTGTGTGTGTGCGCCAACATCAACGCAGCGCCGTTGGATGGAGGCTGTTTCATCCCACTAGTGCGAGTTTGACACCGCTTAGGTGAGGATCGTGCCGCTTGGGATGATAACGAGTTATTTACGCTTACCATTGTGTCGTGTGATCGACTCGTCATGTCTTGGAGCGACGGTGAGTTTAAAAAACCTTTATTTAAGGACACCGGCTCGTTATGTGTGGAGGATGTGTGCGTAGCCGCTGTGAGTTCATCCGAGCTTACAAACTGGCTAAAAACAGACACTTTGATCATTGAATGATGATTTATTTCAACTTTCGTGTCACTTTTACGCACACCCTCCGCAGACCGTCATTTTTTAAAACTTCTCCCCCTTGAGCTCTGCGATTTGTTTGCCCAGAGCGCTGTCTTGCAGGCGAACTCTGGGGAAACGCTGAACTGCAGGTAGCCGGATTGAAGAGGGCTGGATTCTGATGGGCGGGGCTGGTGGTGGAACTGAGCGAGAGCCGCGGCCGTGGAAACGTCGATGCTTGCTCGCGACGGTCCCTCCAGCGGGCCGTGGGGCGGGATGAGGTGGCGCACAGCCTCTGGCACCTCCTCCGACTGCTTCAATTCGCCAGCATAGTTTTGAAGCTGCTCTCGAACAGCGCGTCCGCCGTGATGGGCCCTCCATCAGGTCTTTGTGCAGTTCCTCCGGCAGCGAGGGAGAGTAATGAAACCAGGTGGATCGTTGGATCATCGTCATCCACGCTGCAATCCTCGACAGGCAAACCGTAGAAGAGGCACACATGTTGAAGATGACGCCTGCTGCCTTACAGAGGGAGTTCTTTGTCTCCAAGGCAGGTCTGCGGCCTTCAGCCCCTTGGAAATGCTATATGCTAGCAACGCCACGTTGTTGCTAGCTGTGGCTGCCTGAAAGCACATTGATGGGCTCGATTGGAGAGCGTGGTCACCGTCTGGTTCGTGTTTCTCCGGAGGGACGGGTCACTGCTCCGACCTGGACAGCTTCGCTCCGAAGCTTCCGCGAGGCTTGGCTCCAGGGGGGTTACCGAGGGATAGCCCCGCTCGATGAACCCCTCCACTCTGGTGATGGGTGCGGACTGGGGAACGACTCCCCCAATCTACCAGGAAAGAACCCGTCTGTGGCCTTGCCCGTAGGACGTCCTGTTGGGAGCACGAGGCCATATGGGTCAAGACGGTGAGCCAGAATGGAGCCCAGTAAACAACCTTCCCGCCGGATCATCCGAACTGGCGGGAAAGGCGTAGGACGTAAAAAAGGGTCCTTTCATGTCAGCCTCCTCCTGGGTTACGCCAGGCAACCCCTGAGGGCGCCGTCGGCCGGGAGCAGTGTGATCGCCGATGCGAAAACGAGGTGGGATGGGGTGAGCATTCACTCAGCCCCCCTCCACCGACACTACGCTCCCCAGGAGGGAATGAGCAGCGGGGGCTGCAGCTGAGCACGCCTGTCCCGGAGGAACCATCTGATTCGCTCCGAGGGTCGGCGATAAGAGGAAAAAATACAAGATGGCATTGTCCAGCGTGTAGTGACCTGTCACTGGGAAATATTCCTCGGCGCTTACCTTGGAATAGGACTGCTCGTCATCTTCTCCTCGGGGAGGAGAACTCACCGGACGACCGGAGGTCGACTGCCGGGCCAAGCATCCTTAACAAAGGTTGGTCATCTACACAATTTTCCTTCTTTGTTCTTCTGACAGTGCTATTTTAGCTCGCTGAAGAAAAAATGGGAGCCGATTTCCCGCTCTTAACGTAATTTAAACGGACCGGGTGGGGCCCACACAGCAGGTGGGCGTGGACTAAATTTTTTCAGTGCTTATGCTGCGCATAACGGGATAAACCCATCAGCAACAGCCTTAAAGGGCGAAGCCTATACGACATAGAACATTTAGCTTCATCACACCCAGGTGTTCACATAGCTGCCCAATACACGTCTCTCCTAGGGGGGTGGGTCCTCATGACTCAATGAGACTACCTGTATAAATAAAAGGTTAAAAAAAATCTGACCAATGAAATTACCGAACAGGCCACAGTGGACCCATGAAACGGGGAGGAGAGAACTGGGAGGGGGGATTCCACTGCATGCGCAGAGCATGAGTCTCACATGCTCACAGAGAAACTTTGCTCCGCGGAGCAGGAGGACAGCTTGCGCATGCCATTACCCAATCTGTTAAGGAACCCGATCCGTAGTGTAGCTCATTTGCGCATGCAATAAAAGGAATACTTCCAGGTAGCGCAGATCGCCATTGAATATGCTAGATTAAGGAAAATGTACTGGTATAATTCCGTTTATGAATAAGAACCTTCTTAATTTACTTAGAAAAGTTTGTGCTCTATCTCCGCCAATTTTCATGTTGCTAATTTACGCCACTCCGTTAAAATGATTGACATGTTTACATTATGGTTAAAAAGATATGCTGCATCACCACTGAGCAGCGCTGTTTCACCTTGGAAATAATTCATCTCAGGGAGGAATTATGGGTAAAATTTATGTTCAATGGTAATCATTTCAGTTAGCTGTTTAGCTTTGTTCTTTTAGTGATTAGTCTGTTCTTGTTAGCCTAGTTTATGTTCATTATTTGTTAGTTTGTGTTATTCAGTAGAGTAACCATGAGTGAGGGAGGTAGTTATCGTGGGTTCACTCTGTGTGTTGAACAGTAAAATAAAATACCACCTGGTGGTTGATTCTTGATCTAGAACAAGAGATGCAGATCTCTCTCAGTAGCTGTGTGCTGCCTCTCATGTTACAACCTGAACACCCACAGCTTATTTATGTACAAAATTTATTTATTTATTTATTTATTTTTTGGTTGTTAAGGGGGGGGGGGGGGGGTTTACTTTCGGGCCCACTCTACAGTCTGGAAATTACGGCATTTATAAAAGCCCATTTAAAAACAACAGGTTGTAACCAAAGGGCTGTACAATGATAATTATATATAAAACTTTTTTTTATATTGTGAAATAAATAACCTTTTTTTTATCCATTCATTCTTTATTTATACAGGTTAGTCCCATTGAGCCTTGGGGACTCATTTACAAAAGAGATCTGTTTTAAACAAAGAGTGATGACGAAAATGACAACAGTGGACAATCATAAAAGAAGGCATCTACTGTAAATTGAAAAAATAAATGGAAGAAAATGTTAAAAAATAAACAAAAACAGAAACATTATAAAGTGATCCAACATTTTTCAGTCAGGTCATCTGGACAGTTGCTTTTTTTTTTTTTTTTTTGGTGCTGAAACGTACCGCATTCGGTCCGGAAGGCTTCATCAGTCAAGGCTTCATCATCTTGACTGATGAAGCCTTCCAGATCGAAGGCGAAACGTTTCAGCACAAAAAAAAAAGAAACTGTCCAGATGACCCGACTGAAAAATGTTGGATTGTATATCTGGAAAAATGAGCATGGACTTTGTTGTTTTCAACCAGTTTGACAAGACTGTCAACAAGGAAGAAGGCCGGCAATGGAGGAGGGGGCATACCAAAGAGACCATCTTATCACAAGCAGAACTGGTTTGTTCCACTTTGGAGTAAGCTGTTGGGGAAAGAATCAGTTTTGATGTGCGTTTCCTTGACTGATGAAGCCTTCCAGATCGAAGGCGAAACGTTTCAGCACAAAAAAAAAAGAAACTGTCCAGATGACCTGACTGAAAAATGTTGGATTGTATACCTGGATTATTGAGCATGGACTTTGTTATTATAAAGTGATGTAGAAAACTAAAAACGGGGACATGTCTGGGTTGGTTTTTGCCATGAACATAGCAGATGTTTGAAGCCACTTAGAGAGGTCAAGAGCTTCAGATCTTTTTGCAAGATATTCCAGGAAACAGGAGTGGAGTAGAAGAAACTTTTGCCTAGTTCAGTCCTCACTGAGGGAACACTGCAGGTAATAAACGTAGGAATGAGGTGTTTCTTTAATCAGTACAAACTAAATACAGAACTTTTATAATTAGAGTTGGACTGACCTGTATTAGCAAGACTCTTATAAAACAGCTGGATTTCTTCTGCAGTTGGGGGCGATACAGATGTGTCTGAGCTCCAAGTGTCATTGCTTGTCTGAAATGACCAACACAACTGTAAACACATGGCAAAGACAGTTTAAAATATTAGACTTATTTCTGCCAGTCACAAACACATTTGCACCTGGTTGATTTCATCTGGAGCTGAGACTTCATCATCACATGTTGAGTCTGTTAAGTGTTGCAAGTATGAACATGACACGTCTTGCTGTACAAGCACACCTTTAAGACAAGAACACTAGTCTGTAAACAAATTCAGTGCATCCTGATAAATATAATAAAATTACAACTTACAGGCATCAATGGCAAAAAGAGTAGCAGCCACGTGTGAACAGGCCTCATCAACCCCCGTCATACATGTACAGTGAGAGGAAACCACGACTCCATCAGGCTGAATGATCACCCACACGCCAACATGCTTTTTCTTTGTGGTTTCTGATTTTTTCACCTGAATTTAAAATAAAAAAATACATATTCTAAGTATTTTATTTTACTTTCATACCCATGTCACACGTGTTTTTACTGTGGCTGTAAATAATGTCACAACATTGTACCTTTACACAATATTAATTATTAATGTTTGATATTGCAATGACAATATTATTTGCAACAAACCATTGGAGTTACAAAATATATAAGTAGAACCAGAAGATGAATGCTTGGTACTTGAAATATATTGGTTAATGATTTATTAAAATCGAACCCAGTCCTCTAAAATATTATTGTGCATCCACATATTGCAATAATCATAGATTTGGGATTTGTCATGCAGTTCTACTCTGGCATACCTACTGTGATCTTCAGCAAGGCCAACGTGCCACAAATTAATTGGTAATATAAAATATTATGCAACATGAATCTGACACCTCACATTTACCTAGAGGCTGACCAATATATCAATATGGCCAATATTTAGGCCGACATAGACATTTGGGGACATATTGTTATCTGTGACAATCGTCCCATTGTTCGCCAATATAAGTATTTCTAATTTTCACCCCTAATATGATGGAACCAGCCATAATTATACAATGTATCCAGCAGAGGGTACAGGAAGACTACTTCAAGTCATGGCCTTTGACTTTAAGTTTCATGTTCAGCATGGACGAAGCAGGGAGCAATACTATGTAGCGTATTTTGCTGTACAGAGCATGGTAAGTTTATTTTCAGAGTCAGAGTTTCTTTATTGTCATTCGCACCTCATGTGGTACATGTGGTGGAGCGAAATTATGTACACGGGGTCCCAGTTACATCCGACAATAAAATGTATAAGAAAAACAGTAATAACATCTAAGATATGAACTAAGAAAAACATCAACTAAATATACACTAAGCACTCATAACATAAAACATTGAACATCAGCACAAACATGAACATGAGTCTGTGAGCAGATGAACACTCATGAACACATCAACATTAAAATAGATCAGCAGCAACATTGAAACAGATCAGCAGCAACATGATATGTTTTTTCACAGTGATTATTCTAGTTAGAGATTCATGAGTCTAACAGCCTCAGGGAAGAAGCTGTTCCTCAGTCTAGTGGTTCTACACTTAATGCTCCTTAACCTCCTTCCTGAGGGGAGTGGGGCAAAAAGTGTGTGTGCTGGGTGGGTGGGGTCCTTCATGATGCAGGTGTCCCTCTTCCTGCATCTGGAGGTGTAGATGTCTGTGATGGTGGGGAGACTGATTCCAACAGATTTCTGTGCAGCCTTCACCACTCTCTGCAAAGCTTTTCTTTCTGCAGCTGTGCAGCCTCCATGCCACACGTTGATTCTGGAGCACAGGATGCTCTCCACTGCACACCTGTAGAAGGAGGTGAGGACTGAGCTTCCCAGACCAGCTCGTCTCAGCCGTCTGAGGAAGTAGAGTCTCTGATGAGCTTTCTTGATCAGGCTGGTGGTGTTGTTGCTCCAGCTGAGGTTGTCATTCATGTGTACACCCAAGTACTTGTACTTGTACTTTTTTGTATTAAAAATACTTGTCTTTCATTGGTGGGATGATTTTAACTGATCTGTAAAAAAAAATCAACAATAATATACAGGTCCTTCTCAAAAAATTAGCATATTGTGATAAAGGTAATTATTTTCCATAATGTAATGATAAAAATGAAACTTTCATATATTTCAGATTCATTGCACACCAACTGAAATATTTCAGGTCTTTAATTGTTTTAGTACTGATGATTATGGCATACAGCTCATGAAAACCCAAAATGCATGTCCCGAAAAATTAGCATATCATGAAAAGGTTCTCTAAACAAGCTATTAATCTAACCATCTGAATCAACAACGTACCTCTAAACGCCTGCAAAAGATTCCTGAGGCTTTTAAAAACTCCCAGCCTTGTTCATTACTCAAAACCGCAATCATGGGTAAGACTGCCGACCTGACTGCTGTCCAGAAGGCCATCATTGACACCCTCAAGCAAGAGGGCAAGACACAGAAAGAAATTGCTGAACAAATAGGCTGTTCCCAGAGTGCTGTATCAAGGCACCTCAGTGGGAAGTCTGTGGGAAGGGAAAAATGTGGCAGAAAACGCTGCACAACGAGAAGAGGTGACTGGACACTGAGGATGATTGTGGAGAAGAGACGATTCCAGACCTTGGGGGACCTGCGGAAGCAGTGGACTGAGTCTTGAGTAGAAACATCCAGAGCCACCGTGCACAGGCGTGTGCAGGAAATGGGCTACAGGTGCCGCATTCCTCAGGTCAAGCAACTTTTGAACCAGAAACAGTGGCAGAAGTGCCTGACCTGGGCTACAGAGAAGCAGCACTGGACTGTTGCTCAGTGGTCCAAAGTACTTTTTTCGGATGAAAGCAAATTTTGCCTGTCATTCGGAAATCAAGGTGCCAGAGTCTGGAGGAAGACTGGAGAGAAGGAAATGCCAAAATGCCAGATATCCAGTGTGAAGCATCCACAGTCAGTGATGGTCTGGGGTGCCATGTCAGCTGCTGGTGTTGGTCCACTGTGTTTTATCAAGGGCAGGGTCAATGCAGCTAGCTATCAGGAGATTTTGGAGCACTTCATGCTTCCATCTGCTGAAAAGCTTTATGGAGATGAAGATTTCATTTTTCAGCACGACCTGGCACCTGCTCACAGTGCCAAAACCACTGGTAAATGGTTTACTGACCATGGTATTACTGTGCTCAATTGGCCTGCCAACTCTCCTGACCTGAACCCCATAGAGAACCTGTGGGATATTGTGAAGAGAAAGTTGAGAGACGCAAGACCCAACACTCTGGATGAGCTTAAGGCCGCTATCGAAGCATCCTGGGCCTCCATAACACCTCAGCAGTGCCACAGGCTGATTGCCTCCATGCCACGCCGCATTGAAGCA